CTCTGGGAGAACTAGGAAGTACCGGCATTTTTAAAGAGCTCTTTTCCCGGTTCACTTGGGAGTATTCCCATTGGTCAGAAACAACCAGACAGGGGTGTGTTTTGTGACGTAAGAGGTTAGAAGACAGCAAGAATTGTTATGGAACAGAGTAGAAATGTTCTCAGAGACATAAAGAGTTTTGTTTTGGCGAGTTTAAGAAACAGGTGCCAAAACCTTCTGTTTACGTCTGAGAGGATGTAAACAAGACAGTTGTTCCAACGCATGTCTGCTTCGACTCCTGACCCTGGAAACGCACACTTGCTCATTCAAAGACAGAAATCAGAAAATGCATAATTACTCTGTAACAGCTTTAACATGAGTTCTAACCTTGCATGAGAATTAAAAATCATTACACAGTTAATAAAATTGATTAGTTCACTGCAACATCTAAAATGGTTTGAACTAAGACACTTTGATTATCAACATTTGTAAAATAGTAATGATAATAGAACAGAGAGTGTTCTTCCACTTGAATTTTCAAGAAAGAAAGTCTCAGGATGGGTGAACCTGTATTTCTGGATTCAAATCAATGAAATGACAGTTCCTGTCCCACAAGGTTCTTAAGGTCAAGGGTTTTGACCTTAGGCTTAGTCTTGACATCAGGTTAAGTTCACTGCAATAATTACTTTGTAACATAGACATTTAAAATTATTTCTACTTTGAATGAGGATTAAAAAAATTCATTAATACTGTTTCACAGTTGATTTAAAATGAGTGGTTCATTTCAACATTTAAAAATGATTTGAACTAACACAGTTTTGATTATCAAGACATTTGTAAAAATAGTAATGATAATATAAAAAGAGAGTGTTCTTTCAATTGATTAGTTCAGGATACAAATTAGAAAGTCTCTGGACGAGCTTAATTTGTATTTCTGGATTCAAATCAATGAAATAACAGTTCCTGTCCCATGAAGGTCTTCAGGGTCAGGTTTTGACCGGAGGCTTAGTTCACTACATTTGTATGGATCATAATATGTGACAATTCATAAGATTTATATAATTGCATTTAAATGTGTTTTAAGTAGTTCAATAAACATAACTTCTTGTTGTCTGAGTTGGTCACTGTTTTTTTTTCTATCTTGGAATATGATGGAAAAATGTTTATTTTCAATATTTTTCTTTTGAAATCTGTCGATGTTATTTTTTTCTAACCTGCCTAAATAGTCAATTATACAACAATATTGCAGTAAATAATTTAAAAACACCCTTTTTTATAAAAAAAATGTGTGTCCGAAAATATTTTGTCAACTCTGTTACCTTATGATTCTTTCCTTTAAATTTATGGAATTACAGTCCACAGCTTTATAAACTAAATGAAATGATGCCACTTCCTTTTACTGATAGGATCTTAAGCACACAGAGGTATGTCTGCCCTTCTCTGAGAAATGATTTCAATATGAAAAGTGTTAAAACCAAGAGTAAATTTTTTCAATGTCAATCTTGTTACTGTAATATCATAAGAAAAACACTATAGATTTTTAAAAATATATATGTTTATCTAAAGGTTTTTAAACCATGATTTTGTTGGTGACATGTGCATTTATGCAAGCAAGTGGAGTTTTTAACAAAAATGTTTGAAATTGTCAACTCTGTTACCATCAAACTCTGTTACCAAGGTACAGTAACAGAGTTGACATTGTGCAACTATTGAGTAGTAATTTTAAAAGTTAATGAGTACAATTTAATAAATATATGAATTAATGACAATTAAATAAATATATAAATACATTTTTTTCAGGTCTCTCTTGTAAATGAGTGCTCCAGGCTCAATGGGATTAACCTGTCTAAATAAAGGTTGAATGAATGAATTAATTTTAAAGTAATTATTTACTAAATTACAATATTGTTTTTAATATAACCTACATTTTTACTGTAAATATGCCACTCTCAGCTGCTGAGGAACAAAGAAGATATCGAGCTAGACGAGATGCCAGTACAGACAGAAAAGAGGAGAATTTAGCAAAGGACAGGGAAAGACGGAAACACAACAAAGAGTTGGGAAGAGTCAGCTTGGTGGCAGACCTAACACCAAGAGAGAGGAGAAGAAAGCAAAGATACTGGAGAAGAGCACAGGCTGCAAGCAGAGCTAGAAGAGTAGCGCAGAAAGAAAAAGAAGACCCAGCACACATCAACAATGCAGTTGAGGCGATGCCAAAGAAGCTTCATGTTCTACCTTTGACAATGCAGACACATCAAATGATAACTGTATCATCACATCAATTGATTTATTGTGATGTGAGTTGTTCATGCTTCACAAAACAAAATCTAGTGTGCCAGTGCTACAACACCAAAACCTTCACCTTTCCTGTTGAGCCACTCAAAACAAATGAAGACCAAGAGGCTGTTATTCAGTGGGACAATCAAGATGTTGTGGGGCAATGGTGTATCTTGCAATATGACAATGTTGTCTACCCAGGGACCATCCTAGAAGTCAGTGAAACACATGTGAAGGTGAAGTCCATGCACAAAGTTGGAAAGAACCACTTTTTCTGGCCAGCACGAGAAGATGTGTTGTGGTATCCTCGTGAAGATATAAGATTGATTCCATCCCCAACCAAAGTTGGGTCTCGGCATGTGGAAATCAAGAAAGAAATATGGGCAGGCATTTCACAAGAATGAATATAAGCATATATTCTAATCAAACCTTCAAAAGAAAGTATTAGTTATAATGTGCCTTACTCCTCTATTTTGAAAAATTCTTAAGGACTAAATACTCTTGTTACTACGATTTTATATTACCGCGTGTCTTTTATACTGTTTTACATAACTCTGAATCCTTTAATGTTTAATGGCTTCATAATTGCTTTTTAATACTGTTTTCTTACCTGAATTTGAAAAGATTTATTTCACGAGTAAATGTTTTTTTAAACTAAATCCAACTCCAAAGGAATGTTAAGAAATTGTTATTGTCCTGTCAATTCTGTTACTAAGGTCAACTCTGCTACTTCGATGGTCAACTCTGTTTATTAATAGTTTTTACAAAAAAAGAGAAAAATGTTGTTTTTAATATTCTACCCATTGTTGGTTGACTTTACCTGTATTTTAGTATTATAAGCACAATTAGTATTTTAAATAATTGTTGGTATTTAATGAGTTTTATTAATAAAAGTTTGCTCCTACAAAAACAATTCTGTAAATAGTTAAGTATTTTTGTCATATTTTAAATGTATTTTGAAATTAAATACCTTAGTTTGAAGTAGTGTTGTGTTAGGACAGTTTATGTAATAAAATAAAGAGAAATTAGCCTGTTAGAATATATTGTTTTTCCAAAACACTGTCTATGTTGTCCATAACAGAGTTGACATATTGGACAGTATCCTACAAGTTTTTCCTAATAAAAAGTAAAAATAATATGTAGCTAATGTTTGGCAAAGAGCAAATTATCAAAGTTTAGCATATTTTCAACAAAATACCTGAAAAAAAAATCTGAAATTAACAGTTTTTTTCTTTCATTTTTCAAAAGGCCAAATGTATCTCCAATTATAGAATCACCCATATAGTTCTTACCTTTATTCTAAACATTTAAGGAGTAAACATTTTTAATAAACACTTTAAAAGTTATAAATGTTGTCTTTGGTGCCTGTTTGTTTTATTATTGTGTGTAAATGACAGGGATTAACATAAAACACTTTGTAGAACGGTGCTTTATGAAGTTCAGTCTATTTCCTTCTACCAGTTGACCGGCAGTTCCATGGACATTAATACGTATTAATGTCTATGGGCAGTTCTGCCACATCCAATATGGTGACCGCTCCACGTACAGCTGCAACGCTTCAATGGACCAGCCCACTCAACTAGACATTTTTCTCACCAGTTCTCTGTTGTGAACGCCCTGCTAGATGCCAATCAGTGATGGAGAAAGGTCAGGGGAGCTTTGCT